TCTATTATGCCCATTTCTGGATTTCTATTATAAACTAAATCATACTATATGTAGCCACCTCTATCTGCCTGTGTTTTTTCACTTAGTGCCATGTTTTTCATATTTATCCATGTTTCTGCTTGGGTAAATATCAGTAGTTTTTAATTTTTCAGATATAAAGTCTAGCTCTGTCTCCCAGGCTGGAGATCAGTGGTGCAACCACAGTTCATTTCAGCCTCCAACTCCTGGGCTCAAGTGATCCTCCTACCTCAGCCTCACCAGTAGCTAGAACTTCAGGCATGTGCCACCACACACACACACACACACACACACACACACACACGCGTGTGTGTGTGTGTGTGTGTATAAACACTCCCAGTAATAAATTCCCTTAGCATGGGCTTGTCTGAGAAGACTCCTATTTCTCCTTTGCTTATGAAGATTAGTTTGGCTGGATATGAATTCTTGGTTGAAATTTCTTTTCTTTAGGAATGCTTAATATAGGCCCCCAATCTCTTCTGGCTTGTAGGGTTTCTGCTGAAATGTCTGCTGTTAGCCTGATGGGGTTCCCATTGCAGGTGACCTGTCCCTTCTCTCTAGCTGCCTTTAACATTTTTTCTTTCATTTCAACCTTGGAGAATCTGATGACTATGGGTCTTGAGGATGGTTGTCTTACATAGTATCTTGAAGGTGTTCTCCGCATTTCCTGAAGTTAAACATTGGCCTCTCTAGTGGGGTGGGGAAATTTTCATGGAATATATCCTCAACTGTGTTTTCCAAGTTGCTTACTTTCTCTTTTTCTCCTTCAGGCATGCCAGTGAGTTGTGGATTTTGTAAATTGTAAGTTTTGTAAAATAATCCCATATTTCTTATGAGGTGAGGTTTGCTTTATTATTTTTTTTTTCTTCATTTTTGCCTGAGTTAATTTGGAGAACTAATCTTTGAGCTCTAAGATTTTTTCCTGAGCTTGGTTGATTCTGTTGTTAATACTTTGAATTGTATTCAGAAATTCTTCAAGTAAGCTTTTCAGCACTTTCAGATTAGTTTGGTCTTTCAATGACCTTTCATCTTTTAGCTCCTGTATGATTTTATTGTATTCTTTAGGTTCTTTGGATTGAATTTTGACTTTCTCCTGAATCTTGATGACCTTTGTTCCAATCCATATTCTGAATTCTACATCTATCATTTCAGACCTCTCAGCCTTCTGAAGAATCATTGCTAGGGATCTACTGTGGTCATTTGGAGGTAAGAATACATTCTGGCTTCCTGAGTTGCCATGTTCTTGCAATGTTTCTTTTTCATCTGTGTGCACTGATGTTCTTTGAAGTTGATATCCTTTGGATGATGGTTTTTTTTTGTTTGTTGTGTTTTTTTTTGTTTTTTTTTTTTTGTGCGGTCTTTGAAGTAGTTAGTTTTTTTTTTTTTTTTTGAGACGGAGTCTTGCTCTTGTTACCCAGGCTGGAGTGCAATGGCGCGATCTCGGCTCACCGCAACCTCCACCTCCTGGGTTCAGGCAATTCTCCTGCCTCAGCCTCCTGAGTAGCTGGGATTACAGGCACGCACCACCATGCCCAGCTAATTTTTTTGTATTTTTAGTAGAGACAGGGTTTCACCATGTTGACCAGGATGGTCTCGACCTCTTGACCCCGTGATCCACCCGCCTCAGCCTCCCAAAGTGCTGGGATTACAGGCTTGAGCCACCGCGCCTGGTCCGAGTTAGTTTTTTTGCTTTTATCTTTTTTTATGTCCTTGGGGTTTGATAGTGGTATAAGGTGGGTTTAATCAACTGGTATTGTTTCTGGCAGATTTTAGGGGGTTAAGGCTTAGCTTGGCACTCCTCGGCTATGTGCCCTAACTCTGAGGAGTTGGTACCAGGCCCCCAGCTTTGTTCTCTGGCACCTTGAGGTTAGGAACCTGCTGCACTGGAGGGTCCAAAGTGTTACCACCCCACTGACCACAACACTCTCATTGTGGGTGCCAGGCTAAGTACTTTGTCAGGATGGTGGCCGCAGTCTCTGTGCTTGCTCATGCATGCCAGCAGCTGCTGCAGCATGGTGGGGTGAAGCAGGGCACCAGTGGGAGCAGAAAAGTACCATATCTGCATGCAGTTGCACTGGCTGCAGTAGCAGCAGTGGGGCACTGGCAGGGACAGAGTTGACAGTGTCCATTTGCACATTAATGCCAGAAGGGGTGGGATGGCTGTAGTGAAGCATGGATGGGAGCCAGGTTGATGGCTTCTATGTGCATGTATGCAGCAGTGCAGTAGGGTGCCCATACATAAGTGGGGGGATGGGATGGTAGGGTACACTCACACTGGCAGAGATGGGGCTATGGGCTGTGCACATGTGCCTGTGGGCTAGGAAAGGTAAGGTCCACCTACATGTGCATGGTGCAAAATGGTGGTGGTGGGACGTCAGTGGGGGAGTGCATGCTGGCAAAGCAGTGGGAGGATGCTACAGTGGGGGTGGCTACATGTGGTCTGGTGGGCATCGGGGGGCGCTTGTCTGTTGGAGCTCTCCAATGGTCAGGTATGACGGGCCAGTGAAGGAGCTATGATGAGGTCCTGCAGGAAACACCACAGTTGGGTATTCAAGGCTGTGCTATAAGTGGGCATGGCCAAGTCAGGGCCCCAGGAGAGGCCAGCAGATAAAGAGTCACTAAGATCAGATTGACCCATCCCATTGGCAAGACTTTCCTGCTCTGTTCAGGTCTTATAGTCACCCTAAAGCTAAAGTCTCTTAGAGGAGCAGGAGAGCCTTGGTGGATGGGCATCCCTGGCCATGCTCCATTGCAGCCATTTCCTGGCCAAACCTTCTGGGCTCTCTACAGCCTGGAGTCCTGCCCCTGGCACCTCTCCAAGCAGATCTCCCTGCCAACTCTTGTCCATTGGGGTCATGGGGACTCCTGCTGCTTGGATTCTGGAAGTCCATGGTGAGAGTAGGCCACTCATTACCTGTTTAACTCACCCATTTCCCAAGAATCACTGGGGGTTGGGAATAAGTCCTGGTGCTTGGCAGCCCTGTGCTGGGTTCTCAGCTTACTCCCCCTTCAGCCCAGCATCTGCATTCTCTCCCCATTCGCTCTCAATGCCTTCCCTCTGATAATCTGCTCAGAGCGTGCCAGTCTTCACAGTATCCCAGACTCTCAGTGGGAGATGATCCTCCTGGCTGCATCCAGTCAGCCATCTTAGTTCTACTATATTAAAAATACTTAAGGCCGGGCACAGTGGCTCAAGCCTGTAATCCCAGCACTTTGGGAGGCCGAGGCGGGTGGATCACGAGGTCAAGAGATCGAGACCATCCTGGTCAACATGGTGAAACCCCGTCTCTACTGAAACTACAAAAAATTAGCTGGGCATGGTGGCGCGTGTCTGCAGTCCCAGCTACTCAGGAGGCTGAGGCAGGAGAATTGCCTGAACCCAGGAGGCGGAGGTTGCGGTGAGCCGAGATCACGCCATTGCACTCCAGCCTGGGTAACAAGAGCGAAACTCTGTCTCAAAAAAAAAAAAAAAAAAAAATACTTAAAATTGGTTAGAAAGGACATCTTTATTTCCTATTTTCTGCTTTTTTCTCAGTTTTTACTTTTACTTTAGATACAGGAAGTACACATACGGGTTTGTTACATAGGTGTATCATGTGATGCTAAGGCTTGAGATACAATTGATCCTCTTACTCAGGTAGTGAGCATAATACCCAATAGTTAGTTTCCCACCCTTTTCCCTTCTTTCTCCTCCCTCTAGTAATCCTCAGTATCCATTGTTTCCTTCTTTGTGTCCATGAGTACCCAGTGTTTAGCCCCACATACAAATGAGAACATGTAATATTCAGTTTTCTGTTCTAGTATTAATTTGCTTAGGATAATGGCCTCCAGCCGCATCCATGTTGCTGTAAAGGACATGGTTTTGTTATCTTTATTACTGCATACTATTCTATGGTGTATAAGTTCCAGATTTTCTTTTTCCAACCCACTGTTGATGAGTACCTTGGTTGATTTCATGTCTCTACTGCTATGGTAAACATACAAGTGCATGATTCTTTGTGATAAAACAATTTATTTTCATTTGGATATTTACCCAGTAATTGGATTGATGGGTCAAATGTTAGTTCTGTTCCTATTTTTCTGAAAAACCTTCAAACTGCTTTCCACAGTGGATGAAATAATTTACTTTCCCACCAATAGTGTAAAGGCATTATGTTTGCTTCACAGCCTCAACAGTATTTGTTGCTTTTTGACTTTTTAAATAACAGCCATTCTGTCTGGTGTGAGATGGTTTCTGTTTATAGTTTTGATTTGCATTTCTCTGGTGATTATGGATGCTGAGCATTTTTTCATGTTGGTTAGCTGCTTGTATGTCTTCTTTTGAGAAGTATCTGTTCATGTCCTTTTCTCCTATTTAAATGGGGTTATTTGTATTGTTTATTTCCCAGTTTTTTGTTTAGATAAAACTAGCTGATAAAAATACTCTGAAAATAACTTACATACTGGTATGCTGGCCATGTAATTAATAATGTATTTTCTTTGAAGATTACTTTTAATGTAAACTGTAATAACAGATCTAAGGCATATTAATTGAAATGCATACATTAACTATTAAAACAGAAATAATTTTTTTTTTTTTGTATTTTTTTTTTTAGTAGAGACGGGGTTTCACCATGTTGACCAGGATGGTCTCGATCTCTTGATCTCGTGATCCACCCGCCTTGGCCTCCCAAAGTGCTGGGATTACAGGCTTGAGCCACTGCGCCCGGCCAAGAAATAATTTTATAAGGAGTATTGACATGTTTACCCACCCAATTGATTCCTGCCTATAATTTATCTTTTTTTTCTTTTTCTTTCCTTTTTTTTTTTTTTTTTTTGAGACAGAGTCTCTGTTGCCCAGGCTGGAATGCAATGGTGTGATCTTGGCTCACTGCAACCTCTACCTCCCAGGTTCAAGCAATTCTCCTGCCTCAGCCTCCCAAGTAGCTGGGATTACAGGTGCCCACCACCACGCCTAGCTAATATTTTAGTACTTTTAGTAGGGACAGGGTTTCACTATGTTGGCCAGGCTGGTCTCGAAATCCTGACCATAGGTGATCCACCTGCCTTGCCCTCCAAACTGCCTGTAATTTATCTTAAACAAAAGTAGGGATTGTGCAGCTAGCCCTGTGTTGTTATCAATGACAATTCTCATCATGTTCCTTTCCAGACTCACACCCTTCTATTCTTCCCATTTCTCTACATGAAAACCATTCAGTGTTTCTCTCCAACCCATGACAGTGCACATTTCTTTCTTACAAGAGGATTTTTTGGATGACTTTTCCTGTACAAGAACATCTGAATCAAACTATACTTCAAAAATATTTTTTAATCTACTATGATTCTTCATAATACAAAATAAACTTTCTACTAAATCCCTAAACAAAAAAACTATTCCATTAACCTATTTTGATAATTTCTGAACTTTTCCCCAAAGAATCTAGCAGTTAGATTGAGTGTTCTTTGTATAACAGTATCCACAATATTCACTTTTAGTCCTACTATAAGATCTACATGGAAAGAGACATTATTGCCCATATGTATGTTGGCATCATAAACTAACACAACAATTTATAAATACTGACAAATACTGAAATATATGACTGAATTTGATGAAGAGAACAGACTCATGGCATGGCAACCAGATCTGGAAGAAGTGTTTTCTTTGTCTTACAGGCAAAACAGAAATGAGAGACATGGGTGTCACTGAAGATGAGCACAAAGGGGCTGAATGCTGGAAAACAGGAGGCCACAAACACAGAGTTGTCCACTATCCACCGACCTGGGTTTTTAAAGTGAGTCATCCAAACTGTCAAGATAGAGTGGACCGAAAAGAAGGCAAAAAAGGAGCTCACCAGGACCATGATGGTGCATATGGCTCTGGCCTCATGAGAAGGTCCGGAGGAGAGTCTGTTGCTACAAATCTGCTGGACTCGTTGCTTATGTCTGTACAGGACAAAGACCATGGAGCCATTGGCCCACACCATGAAGCCCAAACTCAAAAAGTCAGGGGAAAAGTATATAATTGTATGTAAAGTGCCAACTCTTTCTGGCATTGCCCAGGAACAGACTCCATAATTGTTTTTCACACTAAAGTTTTTGCTATCCAACGGACCGTTTACAAGAAAAAGAACACTTGTATTTATCAAGAGATGTAAGACCAGCAGAGGAAACAACAGAAGCCAATGAACTTTTGGGATCAAATTTTGAGCTCCAGCTACCTGCATATACTGGGGTCAAGCTTAATCGCTTGGAATCCATTGAGGAGGCAGATGGTGCTGAAGGAAACTCCTGTGCCCACTCTGTGATTAAAAAAGACAAGCTTACATCCAGTATTATCCAGGAAATATTTAAATCCAAAAGCTGCCATTGTCTGAGGTATTCCTTTAGAGAAAAGGACCAAGGAGTTGGCTAAGGCCAGTTAGTTGAGAATGAGGTCCATAAATCTCAACCTGTTTCCAATGAGCCACATGAAATTATAAAAACAAAAGAGAAAGGAATTTCCCAGTATCCCAACTCCAGTTTGAATAAGGAAGGTGATCCCTGTTTCTAATTTTCCAGAAGCCATTCCATCAATATCTAGGGATGCTAATTTTCATTGAAGTCAGAGGAATCAGGATTAGGAAAATCAGAAAGTGTCTTGCTGTCACTAGAGATAGTTTTCAGTGTTTATCCTAAACTTATTTTCTCACTTTAAACAGATTACGTTTTTTGCTTATTTGCCCAAAGGCAATTCATAGCAACCAGCATTGGAAAAAAACCTGTGTATCCATCTGCAGGGAAGCAGGTGAATGAATGTCGGCACACTGCACAGGAGTTGTGCACCACTGCAGAGATGAATGAATGAATCTCTGTGAATAGATACAATAATTTCTGGAATCATGCTAGTTTTGAAGATATGAATTTGTTCCAGTACAATTGACATATTAAAGACCATATGGAGCATAAAGACTTTTATGTCTGGACATGGATTATTTTCTTAACAAGAAAAACTAGATTAATGCAGAAAACTGCACCCTATTGAACCATGCTGGAAGAATACACAAAACGCACAAAGCAAACATATAACTGAGTTCACCACATATTATGAGCTGCACCCATATACACCTGGTTATACAAGTTTCTGTCTTATTTTAAATATCTCTTCTTTTACTACTCTACAGCAACCAAAAGCTGTAACCCTTCTGACATCTACTTCTATGGCAAACTTCAAGACTTTTAAAGAAAACTGCCATATTTATTATAGTATTTATGTCTTCATTAACCATTTACATGTGTAAAGTGCACTACCATATTTATTAGCCTTCTGTCTTGTTTTTACTGATGATATTTTTGTGTCCCATTAATTTCCGTTTTTCACTGTTGATTTTGTATAGCTCAATAATTTCTGTGAACAGTATATGTTGCATTATACCAAAAGTGAATGTATGATATTTTTTCAGGGACATATTCTTAAGTGAAAAATGCATGGGTCAGAAACTTGTCCAAACTATGTTAAAGTACTTGAAACTAGTAGAGACATATACATATAGGGACAAGAGTGATATGTTGGAGAGACAGAAATGGGAGTTAGGCCTTTATGAAACCTTTTTTTCTATATCTTCAGTTTTTGCAAATGTAATATTTTACATAATTACTAATGTTGAATCAGAATAAAAATTTAAAATCAACAAAATCAAAATCAAAATAAAATAGTTTTGTGTCTACATGGAAAACAGTCTTCAAGTGAGTTGAAACTTAGGGGGTACATGCACTCATAAACACATACACACACACACACACACACACAAATGAGTATAAATAAAATTAGGAAAATATTAAAATGATAGTGAATATATCAAAATCAGTATCATCATTGTGATATTATACTGCAATTGCCAAATGTAACCACGGGGGGAAGTTGGGCCATGTGTAAAGTTCTCACTGAGTTATTTCTTAAACTGCTTGTGATTCTAAAATTATTGTTAATAAAATAGTTAAAATGCTCAGGAATTCCAAAATTATTGTTAATAACATGGTCAGTTAAAATGCTCAGGGATATGTAAGGCAAAAATAAGGCATTATAAATCATTGTCCGTCATTATGTTTTCATACACATCATTGGTGTTGATGCATGGAAACAAATAAATAACCCTACAATATAATTGGTAAACAAGTATTTTGGCATAGGGCAAAGTCAGTACAAACACTAACTCAATGAATTTAAACTCTAAAGCATATACTTTTGAAGAGAATCAATATTAATTTATGTGATACAGTTATGTGCCATATAACCTCATTCATATCAGTGATGAACCACATATAATACAGTGGTTGGAGCAGTAGGCCATACCATATATCCTAGGTAGGCAATAGGCAATTCCTATCTAGGCTTGCATCTGACAATGATAAAATCACCTAATATTTCTTAGAATGTATCTCTCTCATTAAGTGATGTATATTTTATTTAAAACATATATTTTGTATGATTTTACATTAAGAAATCTAGACCTCATCAGATAACTCCATAGCAGTGACTATGACCATTGAGCACCCAGATTCTTATCTAAATCTTATCTAAATGCCATTTTTCTGTTTCTTTTGTTTTCTTTTCTCTTTTCTAAATGCCATTTTTCATGCAAAAAAAAAAGTATCTTGAAAATAAATGCTGATTGCAGGTACATTCAACTCAAAAACTCTTAGTCAAATAAAAAAAATCTATGATGTTCTAGAAACTCTGGGCTTACTATCTGGGGAAACAAAATTCAGTAGGCAGGGGATTCTATTGCACAATATTCACACAAATCACCAATCAAAGAAACTGTAACTCCAAAGATTTGAAACTCAACATATATGTTATAAAAATAAATGTTATTTACATATATATTAATAATTAATTTGTAGGCTGGGTGTCGTGGCTCACACTTGTAATCCCAGCACTTTGGAAAGATAAAGTGGGTAGACGACCTGAGGTCAGGAGCTCAAGACCAGCCTGGCCAACATGTTGAAACCCTGTCTCTAATAAGAGTAGAAAAATTAGCCAGGTGCAGCGATGGGCACCTGTAATCCCAGCTATTCAGGAGGCTGAGGCAGAAGAATCTCTTGAGCCCAGGAGGCGGAGGTTGCAGCGAGCCAAGATTGCGCCACTGCACTCCAGCCTGGATGACAGAGTGAGACTCTATCTCAAAAAAGAAAAGAAAAGAAGGCCAAAGATTTGCTGTCTATTGGAAATATTATTTACAAATAATAAAGTAAAATAAATTAATGAAGGATAATTAAATTTTGGGGAACAACACTAAAATCAGGTAGTTTTAAGGGAATATTGAAGCATAAAATACTATTAAAATATTAAGATTAGAGATAAGTGATAGGATAGAATAATTGTACCCCAAGATCAAACTCTAATGTAATTTTAATTTCCAATAAAATAACTTATTTAACAAACTTGTAATCAAAATAGTAATTATCTAAATTTTCTTTATATTTATGAAAAGTAGTTTTAATAGGTAAAAATTAAACACAAATGAAGAAATTGTTTACCAAAATAAAACAAAATAGAAAATTAAGTAAATGGCACAGAAAAGAAGTTTGTAAAACAAAACTTACACACATACATACTTTGATATATATAAATTATCAATTTGTGGGGAAGTTGTTTTAGAATATGTTATTACAATATTTGGATAGCTAATTCAATTAAAAATAGAAAAATCTGACTTCACAATTATAAATAAAGTTTAACAATACACTGAATCTAAAATACAAAGATAGACAAACCTCTGAGGTAAAAGTATTGGAGTGCTTTTTCAGAGTTTGGGGTTAAAGAATCATTATCATTCGTGGTCCAAACTGAAGGCCATTTTATGTCAAAAGAAAAGCATAATAATACTCTATTAGTAGAAATCATATTAAACAAACAAAATTAAACACAAAATTATTTAAATATATAAACCTAAAAGTTATTGACTATAACTTCAGTAATGATACTAACTAGATGAATATAAGACCAAAAACAAATAATGGAAAACATAAAAGCTGTTCTTAAAAAAAATATAATAATATGCTTCTAAAAGTTTGTTTTGCAAGTGAGCAATCGTGTATTTCACGGACATCAATCAGGATCTTTGACAAAGGGAATATACAGAAAAAATAATCACTTACTCTAGGTCAAGCAGGTGGAGTTCTCAAAGCTTTTACTGCATGTATACAGTTAATGAATATCTGAAGAATCCTCACCAACTGCCAACAAGGTTCTTTCTGAGGATTGGGATAGATAAAGAGGAGGAAGATGGTTATTTTAAAGTAAATATTCATGTTGACTTATACACCCACTGCTTTGTCAAAATATTTATAAAAATTATAATTTATAATGCTAAAATAGAAAAAAATAGGAACCAAATTCATATGGAAATAAATTATAGAACTAGAACACTGAAACAAAATAAGAGTAATAAAAAAGAAATGGATCAGGAATTATCTTAAAGATGAATCAGAAATAAATTTAAATAAAACACATATTCGTGAAAAGATGTGTATGAGAATATAAAACATTTGCATGAATTGGATTGTTGGAACGGTACAAGACTATTAAGGTTTTATAACCATCTGGTTACATTTCAGCATAACATTTGTATTTTAGACTATTAAAGGCCCTAATTTGTACCTACTTCATGATCTTATTTGCCATATGCATCTTTACATAAAATTTTTATTTCTGTAAATAGGAGATAAAGGAACTTCTCACTGATCTGAGAGATGCTATGAACAGCCTTCCCCTGATGATAGAAATTTAGAGACATTTTATTAAAGTCTGCATTTGACACCACATGCCCGTGTTCAAAATAAAACAACAAAATGCAACACACACCAGAGACTATCACACAAGTACTAAGTTTCTACTCTAGTGGAAGCCCATGTTAATTGTCCTATTACTCCCCAAATGCCTGTGTTCTGAAGTCTTTCGTATGAGTGCCAAGGGATACTATGTTTATTGAGTAGAAAATCATGTATATATGCTTCAAAACACCATGTTATACATGACAAATACATATAGTTTTATCTGTCGACTTAAAAAATAAACAAGAGAGAAGTTTCAGAGAGAATATAATTAAGTGGAGAGAGGGGAGAGGTCAGGGAGTGGTGCAACATATGGATAGCAGTAATTTGGCTGTGGATTCCTCCAGGAACATCTTTCTCTTTGGTATGTGTTTGTTCCTATTTGTCTACTTACCTATCTTCCTATCTATGTATCTGGCTAGCTATTACCTAAAAAGCATTTTAGTTTTTATTTCTAGCCAGGGAAGTCTGATTTTTTAAAAAGTATTTCTGAATTTCCTGAAAATTCCTTCTAAATATTAAATGCTTATCTGAAAAAAACAGTTATTTACCAAATTTGGATCTGTTTTGTGGACAGTGGGTGCCAGGTCAGTGTCAGTGCCAGAGTGTAGAGGCATCTGAACCTGAGATAAAGGTTTGGGATTCTACGATCTCATCTCCTTGCTGGGAAGTGATTATCATTTCACCTGTAATTGCAGTGACAGTGTCTGCACAGGGAGTTGAGATTATTTCTGAGAACATATGTGCAGACTGAAAGTTCCTAAAAGCTATTAAAAATTAGTAATAAAGATATCCAACAAGAGTGGCAGGAAGAGATGGGGGAATAAACTTTTGAAATATGAAATAAGCAAACCAAATCCCAATGAGAGATGAACACAGAACATAGATCTAATAAGTGACAGAAGAAAACTAAGCATGTGTGTATCCAGGATTTTTAGTAAATTGGAAAATTTTGTCTCCAAAAAATGATTCTTTTCTATTCCTGAGAGCACTGAGAGTAGTGAAATTGAAAGAAGAGATGGTCAGTCAGTAGAATTAGAAACTGTATTCATGGCCGGGCGCGGTGGCTCAAGCCTGTAATCCCAGCACTTTGGGAGGCCAAGGCGGGTGGATCACGAGGTCAAGAGATGGAGACCATCCTGGTCAACACGGTGAAACCCCGTCTCTACTAAAAATACAAAAAATTAGCTGGGCATGGTGGCGCGTGCCTGTAATCCCAGCTACTCAGGAGGCTGAGGCAGGAGAATTGCCTGAACCCAATTGCGGTGAGCCGAGATCGCGCCATTGCACTCCAGCCTGGGTAACAAGAGTGAAACTCCGTCTCAAAAAAAAAAAAAAAAAAAAAGAAACTGTATTCATAATGATCCAAATGAGCATTAAATCTGTGTTGCCATATTTATTCAGTATTTCACCAAATGTTTTGGATACATGTTATAGGCATGTTTCAAGGTATATGGAATAGATATATCAGTATACGAAACATGAACTGTAATTGACTTTCATGAAATTTACACCATAGTTAATTGAAACAGCCAATAAATAATTCATCTACTTTATTAAGTAGCATAGTAAATATCAAGGTTCTGTAGAAAATAGAAGATTCAGAGGCCGGGCGCGGTGGCTCAAGCCTATAATCCCAGCACTTTGGGAGGCCGAGGCGGGTGGATCACGAGGTCAAGAGATCGAGACCATCCTGGTCAACATGGTGAAACCCCGTCTCTACTAAAAATACAAAAAATTAGCTGGGCATGGTGGTGCGTGCCTGTAATCCCAGCTACTCAGGAGGCTGAGACAGGAGAATTGCCTGAACCCAGGAGGCGGAGGTTGCGGTGAGCCGAGATCGTGCCATTGCACTCCAGCCTGGGTAACATGGGTGAAACTCCGTCTCTAAAAAAAAAAAAAAAAAAAAAAAAAAGAAAATAGAAGATTCATAGACTGCAGGTGGTGTTGTCTGGGACCCACGATTTGCCGCAGTAGGAAATTGAAGATCAGTGTTAGGATTTACAGTGAAAACGGTATATTTTTTAATTTTTAACTTTTGTGGGTACATAATAGGTATATATATTTATCGGTTGCATAAGATATTTTGATACTGCTATGCAATGCATAATGATCACATCAGGATAAATGGGGTCTCCATCACCTCGACCATTTAACCTTTCTGTTAACAAATAAACCAATTATAATTATTCTCTTTATTTTTAAATGTGCAATTAAATTATTTTTGACTATAGTAGCGCTGTTGAGTTAGCAAATACTAGGTCTTATTCATTCTAGTTTTTGTATTCCTTAATCATCCCCACTCACCCCCACCCCCACCTACCCTTCTCAGCCTCGGGTAATAATCTTTCTATTTCCTTTTTTGAGACAGGGTCTACCACTGTCGCCCAGGTAGTACAGTGGAGTGATCTCGGCTCACTGCAATCTCCACGTCCTGGGTTCAAGCAATTCTCCTGCTTCAGCCTCCCGAGTAGCTGGGACTACAAGCGTGTGCCACGACGCCCAGCTAATTTTTTTGTGTGTCTGTGTGTATTTCTAGTAGAGACAGGGTTTCACCATGTTGGCCAGGATGGTCTCGATCTCCTGACCTCATGATCTGCCCGCCTCGGCCTCCCAAAGTGCTGGGACTACAGGCGTGAGCCACCGTGCCCGGCCACATCCTTCTACTTTATGTCTCCATGAGTTCAATTGTTTTTATTTTTAGATCCCGTAAATAAGTGAGAATATGCAAAACATATCTTTCTGTGTCTGTCTTATTTCACTTAACAGGATGACCTCCATTTCCATCCGTGTTGTTGCAGATGAGAGATCTCATTCTTTTTATTGCTGAATAGTACTCCATTGTGTATATGCAACATCCTATGTTCTGTGCAACTTTCTTCTGCGTGTCATATTTCAAAATCCGGAAGATAAAGGTATTGGGGTAAACAAATTACATCTAAATAAATAAAACAGGGCTTACGTTGAAAAACAGTCATTAGAAAAAAAATATATGTAAGCTTTGTTGCAGAATAAGAAGAGTTGGGTGAATGACCAGGGCACGCAGCACTCACCTGAGCGTGGTCCCTCCGCTAGGCCAGGGGAGGCGGCCGAACGCGGCGGGGGTGGGGGTGGGTCTTGGGTAAGGCAGTTCCTATCCCAAAACAGGTGCGGTCCACGGTAGGTGGCGTCACCGAGCCTCAGAAAAGAGGGGACAGAGTCTTCCTGCCCGTTACCTCTGGCCAACCCAGGGCTACGAAGCTTCCAGTGGACAGAGCCCACCAATGAAAAGTTTGCCCCGAGGCCGACGCCAGAAGACCTGCCCAGGTGCTCTTTCCTCGCACGGAAGTGCCCTTTTCTCCCACGGAAGTGCCCCTCTCCCGAGCCTCTCATTGGCTCAGTGCCGCCGACCCGCGCGGTGTCTTCTGGGTAATGTGGTTCTCACTGCGCCATCGGTACTGGTGGCGGTGCCGCCCCCGACTTCTGGGCCTGTCCCAGGGCTCCGCGAGGGACGCTGGGAAATGGTACCTGGCGTCTCTGAAGACACAGCTGAGTTTCACACTTCTTAAAGGAGACGCATCCAGATTTCCGTGGAATGCACTCTGCATCGAACACAGAAATGTGTAGAGATGGCCGGGCGAGGTGGCTCACGCCAGTAAATCCCAGCAGTCTGGGAGGCCGAGGCGGGCGGATCATCTGAGGTTAGGAGTTAGAGATCAGCCTGGCCAACGTGCGGAAACCCCGTCTCTACTAAAAATACAAAAATTAGCTGGGCGTGGTGGTCCATGCCTGTAATCACAGCTACCCCGGAGCCTGAGGCAGGAGAATCCCTTGAAGCCGGGAAGTGTGGGTTGCAGTGAGCTGAAACCGCCGCATTGCACTCCAGCTTGGGCGACAAGAGCGAAACACCGTCCAAAAAAAAAAAAAAAAAAAAAAAAAGGAAGGAAGGAAGAGAGAAAAAGAAAGAAAGAAAGAAAAGAGAAAGGAAAGAAAGAGCTGGGTGCGGTGGCTCACGCCTGTAATCCTAGCACTTTGGGAGGCCGAGGCGGGTGGATCACCTGAGGTCAGGAGTTCAAGACCAGCCTGGCCAACATGGTGAAACCCTATCTTTAAAAAAATAAAAAATAAAAACAATTTTTAAAAATTAAAAAAAAAAAAGTAAAGAAAGAAGGAAGGAAAGAAGAGAGAAATATGTAGAGACGCAGTACTTCAGATGGTCCCCAAAGCTGCAAAGCCGAATGAACACACATACCATAATATCATTCAGACGCAAGTGCATCCAACCATCGCTGGGATTTAATAAATACTGTCTTTGGTGCTCTTCAAATGCATGCAGACTGAAGTTTTAGAATCAGGTGAAGGAGCTGCAGTGTTAGGTCAGGGCTGGGAGACAAAAGACCAAAAGGGCAGCCACAGGGAACCCAGGAGGGAGCTGCAGTGGCTGGAGGCAGGTGCACAAGGCCCTGCAACTTTGGTTTCCTCAGCGATAATGTAGAACCAGTAATTGTGTCCTACTCTGGGAGAGTTGTTGATTTACCTGTATAGT